GAGAGCTCTTAAAAATAGTAAGGAAGGGGGCTGGGGATTTAGCTCAGTGGTTTCACTGCCTGCTGCACAAGGACCCGAGTTCGATCCTCAGTACCAAAAAAAAAAAAAAAGAGTTAAAAATAGTAAGGAACTATGAGAAATCAATCCAATAGCTCCTAGGAGATGCAAAGAAGAATAACATAAGACTGATAGGAGTCCATGAAAAAGCAGGAGAAAGTACAAATGACATTAAAAAAAAACTGTTCTCAGAATTAATGACAGAAAACTTCCCAAACAGAGCAAAAGAATTTGACATACACATAAGTGAGGCATACAGGACTCCAACTTAGCCATGATCAAAAAAAATCTACACCTAGACACATAATAATCAAGATCCAGAAAACCCAACAGAAGAACAAAATACTACAAGCAATTAGAGATAAGAAACAAATCACATGAAAAGGAAAGCCCATCAGAATCACAGCAGACTTCTCAACACCAACCCTCAAGTCAAGGAGAGCCTGGAGTGAGGTATTTCAAGCCCTAAAAGAAAACAACCTCCAACCTAGACTGATGTATCCTGCAAAAGTATCTTTCAAAATGGATGGAGAAATAAAATACTTCCATGACAAAGAACACCTGAGAAACTTCATGAATACCAAACCAGCACTCCAAACAATTCTAAACAATACCCTAGAAAAAAATAATGAAGGTCACAACTCCATGAGGCCCATCAGAGCAAATTCATCAGGCAAAGCAAGAAATTAAAAGGAGAGGGTAAAAAAATAAAAAAGAACCAACAACAGGAAAATAACATGACAGTGATAAGTCAGTACATATTAGTTATAATCATCAATGTTAATGCCCTCAATTTACCAATCAAAAGAAATAGACTGGCAGAACAGATTAAGAAGTAAAACCAACAATATGCTGTATACAAGAAATGCACCTAGTTCAAAAAGAAACTCATAGACTGAAAGTAAAAGGATGGAAAACAGTTTTCCATGCAACAGGAACCTGGAAAAAAGCAGGGGTAGCTATCTTATTTGCAGACAAAGTAAATTTCAAACCAAAATTAATTAAGAGAAACAAAGAAGGACACTACATACTTGTAAAGGGAACAATCCAACAGGAAGAGGTGACAATCATAAATATATATGAACCAAATATTAATGCCCCCAACTATACAAAACAAATATTAGGGGACATGAAAAACCAAATAAGCACTAATACAATTGCAATGGGGGATGTCAATACCCCATTGTCACAAACAGATCATCTAGAAAAAAAAATCAACAGCAAAATACTAGAAATGAACCAAGCTTTTGAACAAATGGACATAATGGATGTCTACAGAGTGTTCCACCCCACAAAATCAGAATATACATTCTTTTCAGCTGCACACAGGTCATTCTCCAAAATAGACCACATACTCGCTCATAGAACATGTTTAAGTAAATGCAAAGGAATTGAAGTTATCCCATGCATATTATCAGGCCATAGTGCAATTACACTGGAGATCAATAGCATAAGGAACTGCAAGAACTTCACAAACATGTGGAAATTGAATAACACTCTCCTGAACAACCAATGGGTCACAGAGGAAATTAAAAAAGAAATTAGACAGTTTTTACAAATAAATGGTGATGCCAATACAATATATAGGAATCTATGGGACATAATGAAAGCAATTCTATGAGGGAAATTCATAGCACTGAATGCCCACACTAGGAAAACAGAATGAGCTCAAATAAACAACCTAATGTTGAATCTTAAGCTCCTAGAAAAAGAAGAACAAGACAAACCCAAAGCTCGTACAAAGGAGGAAATTATAAAGATCAGAGTGGAAATCAATGCAATAGAGACCAAGAGAATGATACCAAAAAATCAACAAATCAAAGAGTTAGTTTTTCTAAAGAATAAATAAAATCGATAACCCTTAGCCAACCTTATCACAAAAAGGAAAGAAAAGGCTGAAATCCAGGCAATTAGGAATGAAAAAGGTGAAGTCACAACAGATCCAACAGAAATCCAGAGGATCATCAATACCTACTTCAAGAACCTGTACACTAATAAAATGGAAAACACAGAAGAAATGGACAGATTTCTAGATACATATGAATTACCAAAAAGTTGAACAAAGAAGATATAAAAATTCTAAACACCCCAATTACAATCAGTGAAATTGAAAACATAATTAAAAATTTACCAACAAAGAAAAGCCTAGGGCCTGATGGCTTCACTGCTGAATTCTACAAGACATTTACAGAAGAACTATTGCCATTACTCTTTAAACTTTTCAATAAAATTGAAAAGGAAGCAATACTTCCAAATTCATCCCTGGAAGCAAGTGTTACCTTCATTCCAAAACCACGGAAAGACCCAACCAATAAAGAGAACTAAAGGCCAATCTCCCTAATGACCATAGGTGCAAAATTCCTGAATAAGATACTGGCAAATAGTATACAGAGGGTCATCATGAAGATCATGCACCCTGACCAAGTTGGATTTATCCCAGAGATGCAAGGATGGTTCAATATACATAAATCAATAAATGTAATACACTATATTAACAGAGTCAAGGGCAAAAAACATATGATCATCTCAATAGATGCAGAAAAAGCATTTGACAAAACTCAACACCCATTCATGATAAAAACCCTACAGAAAATTGGAATAGATGGTCTTTATCTCAACTTGAAAAAGCCTATCTATGAAAATCCAACAGCCAACATCATACTAAATGGTCAAAAACTGAAATCCTTCACACTAAAATCAGGAACAAGACAAGGATGTACACTATCACCACTCCTGTTCAATATAGTTTTGGAAACATTAGCCACAGGAATTAGACAAGAGAAAGAAATAAAAGGAATA